GGGCGGGGGCTCGGGCCCGCGGTCACGAGCTGAGGACTTCGGTCAGAGGCACCCCAACCCACCGCTCGCCGGACACCGGAGAAAACTGAAACCCGGAGCGGGAAGTGACCCCTTGCGGTCCGACGAGAGGCGGGTCTTCGCCATTGCCCTGCCCCGGCGGCGGGGCGGAAGACTGGAGAGCGAGGCTGTGGGGACACGCGGAGCGGGGGCGGAGGAGGAGCGGGCGGAAGGCAGAGAGAGGGCGCGGAGACTGAAGCCCCAGAGGGGCGAGCTGTTGAAGTGTCTGTGGAGAGTCCTCAGGGACCTCTCGGATCGCCCACTCAAGCCTGCTGCTCCTAGTCTTTGGGAGTCCCGGCAGTCATCTTTACGTCCCGGGAGAAGCTCCAGTGGCTGCCTTTCTGACAATGGCAAGAAAAGAAGGACCAAAGGAAAATGATGTTTCTCGAAAGACCACTGGCACCACATCTTTAAAATGACCCATTTCCAGGTTCCCACAAAATACAAAACGACACTGAGGCCGGAAGTACTTTTGCCCCTATAAAATATGGCAGAAAAGCGTGCTCATCTCCAAGGGAACATCGCGTAATTAGTCAAGGCGTAATATTGCGCACGCGTAGAAGCATACGTCGCCGGAAGTGATGTGCCCTTATTAACGCGGCTGGTTTAGCACGCGTGCGTAACAGGCTCTTCCGTCAGCTGTGTTGTGGAAATGGTGGAGAAGAAAACTTCGGGTATGTGAGTCCCCGGGGGGTTTGCTCCCTTCCTTCTCTCAAATCCGACCCTGGCCTAAGATTTTTCTCACCTAATTATTAGTCTCAAATCCTTTCCTCGGTCCTCGGGTCCTGGAATCGGGGCTCCCCCAAATCATCCATTCACGTTTTATTGATGCCTCTTCCCAGTGGGACTCTGGGGTGGAGAAAGGTAAAAAGATCCTTATTTTCCTAGAACTGGCTTTTTGGGAGGAAGACTGACATGCAGACCTACCATTGCCCTTTGTACGTGCTATGGCAGAGGGATGCACAGCGCCTGGGCGCATGAAAGAGGGGCACCCAATCCAGCTGGAAAGGAGGGGACTGTGAAGGATTGGAGGGGAAGAGAACGCTTGAAAGCCTCGTTAGATTTCGCTCCTTGCAGGCGCCTCTGGGCTCATTCCCCGCAGCAGGAACCACACTTGCAAAGGCAAGAAAGCAAGAAAAAGCAAGTTGCTTAGGAAGCCAAGTTCACAGTTCTGGGTTTGCAGAGGCATAGTAAAAGAGGCTGGAGGGCTAGGGAAAGGCACACTTGAAAGGCATTATATACACTGCCAATGAATTTTAACTCAGAGCAGTAGAGAACCATCCAAGGCTTTTAAACCAGGGGAGTGACCGAAACAAATTTATCTTTTAGAAAGGCAGTTCTGGCTTCAGTGCAGAGGATGGATGGGAGGGACTAGGGCAGCACTGTCCAGTAGGATTTTGGGGGATGATGGGGATGTTTTTAATCAGCACTGTTCATGGCAGCATTAGCTACATGTGGCTGTTGAGCACTTGAAATGTGGTTAGTGCAATCGAGGAACTGAATTTTAAATTTTATTTCATCTTAATCTACATCTGACTTTAAATAACCACATGTGACTAGTGATTACTTGATTGTATAGCACAGGTCTAGAGGCTGGAAGGCCAGTTAAGAAGCCATTAAGTGGTCCAGATAAAAAGAGATGAGGGTCAGAATACCTCCAGATAGACTCGTAATAAATCCAGTCATGTCACGCCTTTCTTTAAAAAAAAAAAAATGTGTTTTTTTTTTTGTTTTTTTTTTAGAGAGGGAGGGGGAATAGAGAGATAGAAACATCCATGAGAGAGAAACATCATGGATCGGCTGCTTTCTGCACACCCCCTACTGGGCATCAGCTGGCAACCCGAGCATGTGCCCTAGCGGGGAATCCAACCAGCAACCTCTTGGTTCATAGTTGACACTCAACTACTAAGCCACCCCAGCCGAGCGTCACTCCTTTCTTAAAACTCCTCACTATATTTCTATCACCCTCACCACCACACAATCCTCAAATCCAAATTTTTATAGATACTTAAAAAGAAAGATTTTTAATGGTCTACATGACTTCATACCTTCCCTCCCTCCCACACACACTTTATATACCAGCCATACAGAACTTTTCATTTGAAGGCACCACAGTCTCCCATCCAGGCCTTCTCTCATGCTGGTTCCAAGGCCTGAGACACCCTCCCTTCTCTCCCAACCAAGTTAAATTCTACTCATCAGTCAGGCCTCAACCTAGGCATACTTTCCTCTGGAAAATCTTCCTGATGACCCCAAGGCCAGGCTAAGTGTTTCTGTCATGCGCTCTGTAGCACTTTGTACTTCCCTATACCAGCGTATACTATACTTGACCATTCTTGTTTTGTCATTTGTATTCCCCACTAGACTATAGGCGCTGGTTGTATTCCAAGAGCCTAGGGCACAACCTGGCACTTGGAAGGGAGGCAGAATAGTGCAGTGATCAAGAGCATGTTTTCTGATGCTGGGCAGTTTGGCATTTGAATTCTGACCAGCTATGCACAGTTCAGTAAGCTGGGGATGATAATGATACCTTTTCCATAGGCTTGTTGTAAGGGTTACAGGATTCCATTTATATAGAGCTTCATATAGTGCGTGGCTCATTGTACATGCCCAGTGTTAGTCACTGGCACTGATGCGATGATTATGGTTATAGGCCCTCAACAAATATTTGTTTAATGAATAAAGAGACATTTTGTGGTGAACAGCTGATAATGGTGATGAAGAGAGCGCTTTAAAATAATCCTAGATTTTTGGTTTGGATGTCTATGTAGATGGTTTCCTTCACTTAAAGTCTACAGGAGGAGAAGCAGACTTGGGTGGGAAGATTCTTGAATTTGAGTTGCATGGTCAATGGAGTCAGCAGGTAATCTCCTGCCGCCAGTTGAATTGTCAGTTTTGGAGCTCAAGAGAAGGTTTTGGATTGAGAAAATCACTTCTGGAGTCATTTGCTTGTAGGTGAGAGAGCCTTGTGTTTGGATTAAAAATCCCAGGAAAGATAACAGGGACAGCCATCTCCTTAGAGGCAGAGAGAGAAGGCGAGGTTGGAAACAGAAGCATAGCCAGATATGGAAGGGCTGCCAGTTGAATCGTCAGTTTTGGAGCTCAAGAGAAGGTTTTGGATTGAGAAAATCACTTCTGGAGTCATTTGCTTGTAGGTGAGAGAGCCTTGTGTTTGGATTAAAAATCCCAGGAAAGATAACAGGGACAGCCATCTCCTTAGAGGCAGAGAGAGAAGGCGAGGTTGGAAACAGAAGCATAGCCAGATATGGAAGGAAAACTGGAGTCATGTGAAAGAAGCCTCTGAAGGGACTCTTTCAATGCAAGGGAGATGGAAAACACAGTCTCAGAGTGCAGAGAACTCAGGTAAGATGCACCCTGGACTTGGCCTGCGGAGGTCACCAGTGTCCTGAGTGTGAGTGGTTTTCATAAAAAACCAGCCGGTTACTGGGGTTGGGGGTGGATGGGAGATGAAGAAATGAAACATCACATGGACCACTCTGTCAAAGAAGAGTAGCTGTGAAGTTGGGTAGACACGAGAGAGTTCAGTAGGTTTTTCCATGAAGGGAAAGTACCAGTTGAGGAGGAGAGTTTGAAGATACAAGAGGGAGGGGAGGACTCAGCTGCAGGTGAAGAACCGGGTTTAGCAGTGAGACTTGGTGGGGGTGCCCCAGCAATGATAAAAGATGAGTGTCTCTGCGTGTCAGTGGCCCATTGCCTTTGAGGTAGGAAATGAAATTGCATGAAGGCCAAGTGCATTAAGGTACCAATGGAGCCTGGAAGCCCTGAATTTACAGTGGTCTCCTCAGCACGGTTGTGTGATTTCTGCCAGTGTTTCTTTGATTGGATCCTCTGGGATTGGGAGGAAAGGCTGCAGCCAAAGAAATAGAAAACAGGCATGAGTGATTGAAATGGCAGACTTAACTAGCTGGGAAGGAAGCAAAACAGGGGCTGATATATATTCCCCCCTTATCCACAGGGGAGTTCCAAAACCCCCAATGGAGCCTGAAATTTCGGATAGTACTGAACCCTATACATATGTTTTTTCCAATACGTATATATATTTTACAGTTTCTCTTTGGCATATCTTTGACATCACTACTCTTGTGTTTTTGGGCCATTAAGTAAAATAAGGGTTACTTAAACACAAGCATTTCGATACCACAACAATTGATCTGATAACTGACATGGCTACTTAGTGGTTAACGGGCAGGTAGTGTATACAGCCTGGATACTTGGGAAAGAGATGATTCACAGAAAGGAGTGGGTTGGCATGAGATTTCATCACAGGCTCCTGTTTTTGGTGGCCCTGGATGCTGTAACTCT